CAGAGGGCCTGGAGGAAGGTAGAATCTCCAGTGAGTAGTATTCAATCTGACTAGGTGGGGCTGATGCAATGAAATGCAGACGGGTCTCTTGTGATACAATAGTGAATAATTGTTATCAGGACTGACTGTGAGGGTTGGAAATTAAAGGGTGGACGTTTTATAGCAAGGAGGGGAGTGATTGACTTTTCAGTCTAGGAGCGGAGGACCCTAGGACCATCAAGGGAGAAGAGCTGAGAGCGGGACCCTACCCAGCGAAGCAGTGATGCCTGAAATGGAGCCAGAGATGATGATGTGGAGCTATGGAGCAGCTGGAGACTCTAGACCCAGAGAGGGAGAGCGACTGTGTGCTGAAGACCTAGGGGCACCGGGGAAGGATTGCAAGGAGGGGATTGTAACCATGGCAATGAGAAGATACACAATAGAATGAATGTAAAACTAATGTTCTCCCATGTAAACTGTCACATAATTCACAATAAATCATTAAAAAAAAATCGACAATGACTACATCATTACATAACTTTCAAACCAAGTTGACACATAGATATCACAGCCAGCATTATTCTTGCTCATACCAGACATACTAATGTGCGAAAGAAATTACAATTGTCATAAATGCAAAGTGTCAGATAATGAAAGTCGATAAGCGAGGAGTACATGTAATTGCCAATTATTGAAAGCCAGCTATGGTCTAGGAACTTTGCATCTATTATTTCCAATCCTTAGGAAAAGAAGGCACCCATAAAAGGCTACAATGCCAAATTAATCTGCAGAGTATGGCACTCCTGCCAGGATTTACATATTCCGAGATGTAGTACAGAATTTATTCTACTAGCATGAGAACAGGTGGGGAAACTAGTTAGGAAATGACTATCAAAAGCCTGAAGTAGTGGGTGAAAGAATTAGTAACGTATGTGATATTGTACATGCCGTCGAGTCAGTGTCCATTCATAAGTGACCCTGTATAGGATTTCCAAGGAGCAGCTGGTGGATTTGAACCACCAACCTTGCAGTTCAAACCAGCCTTGAGGTTTTGTGCTTATCCTACAGCGCCACACCTAGACTCCAAAGTATATGATGTTATTGTTGTTATGTGTCGTGGAGTCGGTTCCGACTCATAGCGACCCTGTACAGGGTTTCCGAGGCTGTAAATCTTTACGGGAGCAGAAAGCCTCATCTTTCTACTACGGAACAGCTGGTAGTTTCGAACTGCTGACCTTGAGATTAGCAGCACGATTTGTAACCACTATGCTACCAGAGCTCCTTAAGTATATGATAAGCTTTAGAAAAACAGTAAGATATAGGAAATGGTCGTGGAGGATGAAGCTGATCTTCAAACAAAATCAAAGTCACAGCAGAGAGGATAGTGATAACAGTCGCAGTACAAGGACACAGAGGAGGAAGAGCAGAATCAGAGGGATGAAATGATGAGATTTTCTTGTGAATATACAAGTGAGCAGGAGATGGTCAGTTTGAACCTCAAGGTCTGCAGTTGAAATTCATCAGCCTCTCCTGGGAAACCCTTTACAGCGACAGCACTTAACAACAACAAAAACAACCGAGACCTACTAGGAGTCCTGGTTGCCTAGTGAGTTATGTTTTGGGTTGCTACCCACATTAGCAGTTCAAACCCACCAAGCACTCCACCAGCAAAAGATGCAGTTTTGTGCTCCTGCAAAGATATACCACCTCAGAAACCCTGCAGAGGGTCACTGTGAGTCAGAACCAACTTGGTGGCACACAGCAGCAGTGGCAGCGCCCAGACCTACTGAAACAATCTCTAGGACGAGGGCATAAGAACCTCAATTTTCACAACCTCCTTGGAAAACTCTTATGTACACTAAAGTCAGAGTCACAATGTGACTAAAAATCCCTTGGACTACCCTTCACCTTCTACATCAGAGTTGCTCGTGATAGGATCAAATAATCTATAGTTTAAACAAACACCCCAGGTAAATCAAATGAACCATACTTTGAGAAACAAAAGGCTACTGGGATAAGGAGAACGAAAGATCTCAGAAAAGGCAAGAATGGAGAACTCAATGCGTAGGTTTACTATTGTATAAAAGGAAAGAACTAAGTTGTTATGAGGATTATATGAAAGAACATTTGAAGAATCCTACTTCTGCCTCTTCATTTTAAATAATTCAGATCAGTACCAATTCAATGGCACCTAACAACAACATTTCCCTTCTGAACTGATTTTCCTGTCTCAAACTTCCTTCCTCTAAACTGTCAGATTTTGCTCCCCACTCCACCTCACCACTCTGCCATCTTTCTGGCTACAGCATTCCCTGAGTATTGCAATTTTAGGCTTTCTGCTCCCATTAAAGCTAGACAGCCTCAGAAACGCCACATAGAGTCACTAAGAGTCAGAACCAAGTTGATGGCACATACAGCAGCAGCGGCAGTGCCCAGACCTACTGAAACACCTCTAGGAGGAGGGCCTCTGTGCCCCCACTCAAGCTTCTCCTTCTACCTACAACGAACAATATTCAGTAGATATTTGCTGAGCACCTACAATGTATTAGACACTTTTGCAAGCACTAGGGAGGCAATGGAGACAAAACTCAAAGTCAAGTGAAAAGCATTAATGCAATATTCACAAACAAATGTGCACATGCAACAACAGATGGGGACAATAAAAGGGGAGTTGTACCAGACTCTACCTCAGTCAGAGAGGTCAGGAAGGTCATCACTATTCACATACGAGGGGGCTTCATAAACTGCATGGAAAATTCCATTATCTTGTAATTCCATTTTTCAGCCATTGTTTTTTTGTGGTCCCCTCTTATGTAGCTTCTCAGACTTCCACAGCAGTGTCAAAAGTTCTATCTCCTGTCTCTCCTTGACCCTTTACTCAAACTGTCACCATGAACTATCTACTCTTCCTGGACAATTTCTTTCACATCTAGTTCCTGCTATCACTGACACCACCAGAGAGAACCAGCTTTTGTATTTATTCTGCTGCAATAGCCTGTTCTCTCCTCCAATGGAACCTAGCTTAGTCCTCCAGCTCAATCTAACTAAAAACTCTTATTTATTTTTTTCTTTCCGTGTTTTCACTTGCCCAGAAATATTTTGTACTTTCATCATTAGCTATGAATTCCCTAACCTGGCCTTCAAAGTCGGCCCTAATTTGATCACTACTTAGCTCTCCAACCTGACTTCCTGCTATTCCATGGTGACTCTATTGCCAATCTGATTTCCTAGATAGGCCTGGCAGATTCTCCACTTTATACCTCTGTGAATGTGCAGTCCCCTCCATCCTGAATGTGCTATCCCTGAAAACTGGCCTCAAATGGAGTACATTCTTCCAGGCTTGGTTCAGTGTTAACACCTCCCCACCAAAGTCTTTCTCCAAAGACTGCATGTTCCAAAAGTAGTCATAGCATATTTTAAGGTGACAATTTTGTATGGCTCAGCAATGATGCTATGAACAGCCAAATGGCTGTTGGCAGAAAAAAGGTTCCCCACCCTTGCTGTATAGAGTTTCCAAGGGGCAGCTAGTGAGTTTGAACAACCAACCTTGTGGTTCAAGCCAACCTTTTGATCTAATACTTATCCTACAGCACCATACCAGGACTCTAAAGTTAAAATAGCAATCTGTAAATGGAACACCTTCAGTGATAATCCTACCCTGATCATGATCTCTGCCTTCTCTGAGCTCTTGTTACATGTGTTGGCTTCATACACTACCTTGCTTGGGGGTTATTGGTATTCCTCTATTGCTGACTTCTGCCACACCTCGACACTGCCTCACACACGGGAGGCTTTGACCAATTGAATGACTGAATACTGAGTTAATTCTGAAAATACATACAAGAACCTAAGAACTCCCATTTCAGAGTTGGGCCAACCAACATGATCATTGCTTGCAACTGTTATTTTTTTAAAAATTCATTTTAGAGAGAGAAGAAAAAATCAGTTCTGTTTCTGAGTTAGAAAAAGGACCCTATACTGCAGAAATCGGACACAGTAAGATTTACTGCTATATGACAGTTGCCCAGACTGGGTTTCTAAGTGTTTTGTTAGGGCAAAGACTCCTCTTCCTTGTTTTTATTTAAAAAAAAACAAACAAAAAAAAAACAACGTTCTTACATGTTTATAACTGTGTTTTATCGCCCTTTTTTGCTTCCTTTGCAGTAGAGAATAAAGTCTTTTTAAAAAGGCAGAACATAGGGCAGGCCGCTGCTTGGTCCAGCGGTACTACGTGAACTAACCCATTGCTGCTGAGTCCATAGGTTTCCGAGGCTGCAATCTTGAAGGAAGCTGACCGTGGAGCGGCTTTGTTGTTGTTAATCGCTGTCCAGTCAGTTCCGACTGGACCTGCATAGGGTTTCCAAGGAGCGGCTGGTGAGTTTGAACCGCCGGCTTTGCAGTTTAAACCCACCTATGGTCGAGTGCTTATCCTACAACACCGGAAAGGCAAGTAGGTTTGAATGCTAACCTTGTGGTTAGCAATCCAGTGCTTATCCTACAGCGCCAACAACTTGTCCTAGAGTGGATTCCGACTCACAAGTGCCTCGGAAGTATCTGCTGGACGCACCTACTGTGAGACCCGCAGGCCAAGCCTGGAAAACGATCGGATGTGAAAAGAAACTCACTAAAAGGAGTAAATGGAAAGCACTTCACCTGGGCACCCTGTTCCTTAGCCTTTGGCCGTTTGGCTCTTCTTTCTGCAAACACAATATGGCACGTGCTGGCTAGGAGGCCCGTCTCGAGGCCACCCAGCGCCTCCGCTACCACAGAAGTGGCACTAGCGGCCTGGCCTCGCCCCAGGGTGGCCGACCCGTCGGGCTGCCCGGGCCACAGACCGCCCTGCCCAGATCAGCAAGCCTCCAGCTCCGCCGCACTCACTGTCCCGCAGGCGGCGCCTGAACCCCGGGTCCCCGCGCCGCTTCCGGTCGAAATACACACAGTAGCCGAGGAAGGCGACGACGCCGCAGACCGCCAGGGAGGCCAAGAGGCCGAGAAAGGTGCGGACGCCGGGCATCCGGCCGCGGGCGTCCTGCGAGCCGAGCGTTGGGCGTGGGCTGGCCAGGGTGGGCAGCCCGGCCGGCCGGCAGGGGGCGTCGGCGCGGCGGCCCATCCCCAACCTCCAGGCCTTCCAGGCGGCCCCAGCTGCGGATCCACACCTCTAAGCCTCTTAGACAGATGAAGACACTAAGGTTCGAAGAGTGTGGCGTGTATCACAGACACCGAGAAGCTCAGCTTTGTTCGAACCCAGGTCTGTCGCACTCCAAATTCGGAATCTTACAAACACTCATTCAGGCTATTCACAGCATGCTAGGGAGTCTGGTTAGCTGGGGACCCCAGTCCTCCCTAGGCCCTGCTCCCCTGTCTGCAAAATAAAGGTGGCCAAGTGGCAGCATCGATGGACTCAAGCGTGGCAACAGTAGTGAGGTTGGCCCAGGATCGGGCAGTGTTTCGTTCTGCTGTGCATAAGGTCACTATGAGTAGGTACCGACTCGATGGCACCTAACAACAACAAGGTCGGTCAACTTTCAGTTCTGATGTGACGCCAGGATAAGCATTGGACTGCTGATCACAGGTCGGCAGGTCAAACCTACTGCCAGTCGCTTTTTGGAGACCCTATACAGGGTTGCTGTGAGTCAGAACAGACTTGAGGGCACACACAACAACAACCGGGTCAATTTGGGATCATCCCCTAGTACACCACACTGTCCACTGAGAACCTAAACAGAAACCCAATCTGGTCTCCTTTACAACCTGGAATGAAACTCAGTCCAAGGTCCCCAACCAATGTGGCGCTGTGAGATAAAGCATCTGCGCCCTCCTTTAGTTTGACCACAAGGTCGATTGTTCAAACTCACTACCTGCTCCTAGAAAACCTTATACAGAATTGCTATGAGTCTGAATGACCCAATGGCACTTAAAACAATATGTAGCCTAGAAAAAACCATGAATTTCTAGGTTGGGCCTAGCAGTCAGAGATCGCTGAGCAAAAACAGTTAACTGACTCATGATACTTTCCTGGTCTAGATATTTCTCTTTCTAATATTTATTACTCAGCAGACACAGTAAAAAAAAAAAAAAAAAAAAAAAAAAAAGGAGGTAAGGTTTTGAACCAAATACCGAAGTTGTTTTAAGCGTTATAAGAGAAATCATAAGATAGGTAAGAACGTCAAGAAGGAAATAAATTATATATATTTTCTTGTCAGGTTATCCAGCTACTGTATATTCCCCAAGCCCCTCATTAAGTGCAAAGCAAGATGCTCATCAAGTATGAATACCAATGAATTTGATAGGTACCCTCTGCCTTCGTCAGCACTTAACAACAACTCTGTAGGATAAACACTAGACTGCTGTTGTTGTTAAGTGCTAAGCCGATTCTGACCCATAGCAGCTCTATATAAAGTTTCCAAGGAACAGCTGTTGAGCTTGAACCGCCAGCCTTGCAATTCAAACAACTATGCAGTCCAGTGCATTAACCCATAGACCACAACAGGACTCCAAGCACTAGACTGCTAACCACAAAGTTGGTGGTTCAAACCTACCAGCAGTTCCTCGGAAATATAGGGTTGCTATGAATCAGAACTGGCTTGATGGCACTTAACAAGAAGTGTAAATTATGTACAAATGCCTCCTTGAGTACTGGATATTTCCTATGATAACTTAAGTCTTCTAGTTGATTTCCTATAACTCTTTGTCTATTGTCAATACCTGATTGTAACACAAAGCAAAACATCTAATAATTGTTACAGGTGATCTGGGAGAGGTTTTTGGTCCTGAATTTTGATGGTGGGTTAGCTCAGCTTCAGATGATCTTGTCCTAAGCTGATCATTCTTCTCTTCTAATATCATCTCTACTTCTTCCCATTCCCATCCGTCACCTCCATTGAACCCAACCCTACTGCCACTCAGTTCTAACTCATAGAAACCGATGTAAGATAGAGTAGAACTGTGCAGGACTTCAGACTGTGACTCTTTCCGGGTGCAGACAGCTTCATCTTTCTCTTGCGGAGCAGCTGATAGGTTTGAACCACTGACCTTTTGGTTAGCAAACCAATGCTTCATACACAGTACCACCAGGGCTCCTGAAGCTCATAGTTATAAAAAACAAAACAAAACTCACAGCCATTGTTGAGCTGACTCATAGCTACCCTATATAGGGTGTCTGAGGTTGTACATCTTTACGGGAACAGACCATTTTATCTTTCTCCTGAGGAGCAATTGGTGGGTTTGAACTGCTGACCTGTGGTTAGCAGTCCAGGACTTATCCTGCAGGACAAACAGGGCTTCTTGAATTCATGGTGGTGGTTATGTGCCGTGGAGTCAGTTCTGACTCATAGTGACCCTGTACAGGGTTTCTGAGGCTGTAAATCTTTATGGGAGCAGAAAGCCTCATCTTTCTCCCGCGGAACAGCTGGTAGTTTCAAACTGCTGACTTTGTGGTTCGCAGCCCGATTTGTAACCACTACACTACCATGTTGTTGTTGTTAAGTGCCATCGCGTGGGGTCCGACCCATAGTGACCCTGTACAGGGTTTCTGAGGCTGTAAATCTTTATGGGAGCAGAAAGCCTCATCTTTCTCCCGCGGAACAGCTGGTAGTTTCAAACTGCTGACCTTGTGGTTCGCAGCCTGATTCGTAACCACTATGCGACCATAGCTCCTTGTTGTTGTTGTTGTTAAGTGCCTTCGAGTCGGTTCCGACCCATTAGTCCCTGTGAAAATGGAGATGGATGGGGCCATGGAAACTGGCAAGAGGAGACATGCTCAGGGACATAGGAAGCATTGACATGTAAAAGTAAAACTACTACAAGAATTAGATATAAACAAATGACTAAAGTTGTACTTACCAAAAAGACCTTGAGAAAATTTGGAAAAGCAAGTTTCCATGCTGAAGATTTTCCTCTCAGGTGCAGACACCACTTTTGGTTGTACGCTCAGAATTCCTATAAAGCTTTGATCATGCCCTCTATAAAGTAAAGGCAGTTCTTCTCAGTTCCAATTTGCTGCGTTTTCATCAAGAATGGATGTTGGAATGTTTGCCTCCTATGATTTTTATGGTGAACTATTCTGCTGTGCATAATGTGAGTCGGTACTGACTCGACAGCACACAACAACAACAACAATACTGAGTGCTTTTTTTTCCTCCTAGATTTTATTTATTTATGTTTAATGTTTTATTGTGAATTATGTGGTAGTTTACATGGGATAACATAAGCTTTACATTCATCCTACTGTATATTGTTTCATTGCCATGGTTACAATGCCATCCATGCATCATCAACCAACCAAAGGGTATACCCTGCAAGTCCGCTCCCCCTGATCTCCCACCCCAGTCTTCAGCACACAGCCCCTCTTCCTCTCTGTGTCTAAAGTTCCCAGCTGCTCCATCTCTCCACGTCATCATCTCTGCCTCCATCTCTGGCGTCACTGCTTCTCTGGGTAGGGTCCTGCTCTCTGCTCTTCTCCCTTGATGGTCCCAGGGACCTCCGCTCCTAGACTGAAAAGTTAACCACTCCCCTCCTTACTACAAAAACATCTACCTTTACATTTCCAACCCTCACAATCAATCCTGATAACAATTATTCACTATTGTATCACAAGAGACCTATCTGCATTTCCTTTCATCAGCCCCGCCTAGACAGATTGGATACTACTCACTGGAGATTCTAACTTCCTCCATGCCCTCTGGATCTAGGCTCCCTCTTCAAAGCTTGTAAGCCAGTCACTTCTTGCCTTTTTAGCCCATTTTGGGTAGCCAATGTCCAAGTTGCCCATCCCTGTCTACTCTATGTATGGAGGGGGTGGGAATGATCCTCGCTGTAAAGATTTGTTCCCTCTTTTGAGCTACTGCATCTATAGGTGTAGCTCAAGTTCATCAAATTGTATCAGATTACTCTTTTTTTTCCTCTTCTTTCTTCTAGTTGATATACTGATTGCTTTTTGCGTTACGAAACTAACACCGCATACCTAGATAAACAAACCCCACTTTGACCCTGTTCTATGAGGGGGCTTCAAAAACTTCATGGAAAAATGGAATTGAAAGATAATGGAATATTTCCACAAACGTTTGGACACCCCCATCATTTATTTTATCCTTTTAATATTTCATTAGATTTGATTTTCAGACATTTTTGTGAGGTTTTTTTTGGTAAAAATATTTGTGAGTCCTATGGATTTTAGTTTTCTTTTCTTGCATTGGCTTTGTCTGGCTCTGATGTCAAGAGTAATGCTGACCTCCTACAATGAGGTGAAGGTATTCCCTCTTCAAAATTTTTGGAACCAGGTGATGAGAATGAAAACTGTAATCATATGCATAGCATTTTCCTGAGTTCTGTGAGTCATGTAGTAAATTATTGACCCTCGAGTTAGGGGCTAGTGGGAATTCCTGAATTTGTAGCCAGCAGGTCAGAAGAAGTGAAGAGTTCTAAGGACCACCAAGCTTACAGCTGGCTCTTCAGTCGTGAGCACACTTTGCAATCTGGAGACTGTGGACTTTAACTTTGCCAATGCAACCTAGCCCTGACAGTACAGTATATCTCAAGGAATTTTTTCACTTAAATTGTTGAAAGTATTGGCATAAAAGATGTTCATGATGCTCCCTAATTGTCTTTTTTTTTCCCGACGATTTATTTTAATGTTATTGAAGATTGTCACATTTTAATATCATGCATAGTTTAAATGTATATAACAGCAGAAAAAGAAACCCATTGTTTTTGAAGAGTCATTTTTCCAATTACAAATGTTTTGATATCTATGGATAAACAACCCTATAGAACTTTAAATCTTATAAAGAAAATTGCAGACCTTCATAATTATCTGAGATCTACACATTTATCTAAATAGAACACATACATGTCAAGAATTTATGATGCCTAGAAGGATGTTTTACACTTTTGAAGTTTTCCTTAAAGCGAGCTTTTGTTGCATTAAAGAAATGTTCTTTGAGAATCACAGTTTCGGAGGTAGAAATGACCTACTTTTTTCCTTTTTAGCTAGGAAAGAGGCCCAGCAAAGGTTAAGTTACTTGCCCTAGGGCATATAATTA